GTCGTCGCAAACTGGACTAATAAAAATTATACTGAGTTTTTTCGATAATTTGGCTTGAAAAAAACTGAAAATGGAATTTTACAGATCAAATTAGAATAAAGCATTCCGGTATGGAACATCTGAGAAGGAACTTTTAAGCCATGTAAGTACTACTTCAGTGAATTACGAAAAGGAAACTATGTTCCCCGAATTAGCAGATTACAAACACATTGTTACCATAAAAACGATTATCAGAGCTGTGCCAATCTAGTAGGGTTATGTGATGGATACAATGAAGCGAGATTCATTTTCTGATTTTGTGTGTTTGATCATATAACAGCACATCCATGTAACTGGACAAAAAATTGTTTTCACAAATGACTTTCGTCCAGCATCATGTGCTTTATGGAGACAGAAGATGCTATGCTATAAATGTAGTTGTGATAGAAAAGCACATCAAATGCTCTTTTTTGCTTCAACTTCAACTGGATTTTTTCAAATTCTAACCGTATTTAAGGTTCAAGTTTGATTCATCATAACCTTTTTAAAAATGATCTTTGCTTGTGCAAAGAAGTGCATCGAAAGTTACAAATTTTTGGCAGTCCTATGCACACTCAAAAATTATCGCACTTATAAAAGAAAGATTTACTCAGTGAGAATCGCCAAACATCTAATTATAGGAATTTCTACTTTGAAAAACCATAGTTTGGGAATGTAATAGAATGCTTTGCATACCGTATAGTAAATAATCGGCTGAGGAATACGCAAGACTTGAAACATCGAAACTAAAAATTTGAAAAGTATACACTTACTTCGTTCACTCTAAAATAAAAAATGCAATTTTTGTGGATTTTGAATTCGTCCTCCGTTAAATTTGAAAAAAAATTTTGAATAAGATGTTCTAGGGCCATTCTCACTATATAGGGCAATCCTTCCGTGATTGCATTGCTTTTATAAGTCTTCCACGAGAAAGGATCGCAACTGCAGCTCGCGTTTATACTAAAAGTCTATAAGTTCAAACTTTTTCTAAAATCATATTGCGATAAGAATTTTTGTAGCATAAATTCCCGATAAACCTTACATACAGTCCAGAAGAACTTTCCTTTTTGGCCGTAGATTTCACGGAAATAGTGCGAATAGGAACTTTTCTCATTTGTTCTACTGTCTCTATTGAAGATGAAATGAAAAAATGAAAGGTTAAACGAAAGTACGCGTGAAAAACTAGAAGAAAAGAATTTCCAAACTTGCAAGCATTGTACACGAGGAATTTCTCTCTTTATCCAAAAGCTGCAGTCGAAAAGAGGTGCGAGAAAAGTGTGAGACTTTTGAAAGAACCCAATACAACGGCATAAAAATCTTTTTATGAAAAGACGACGCGTTAATCCATTAGATTCATGGATTTTCAACATTTTCACTTCTCATTAGAAAATTTTCTTCGGAAGCCTGGCTTGCATGGTGCTTACCCTGTGACTTCATCACGAGCGTCAAGTGGAAAATGGGACAACGTTTTACTGTCGCGCACTAGTTTTTACGGTGGCACGCATGCCTGACACTTCCTCAG